CCTACACCATTGTGAACTGGGCATGAGGAAAAAGACTGTTTCTGATGCAGAAGCTGCCACCATGTGCCAGGCTGATTCCTGTCAAAGGTTGGCCCATTTCCCTTGCGGAAGAGGATGTTGCCATGGCTCTAGCCTACTCATGGCAGATTGACTTAATCAGATCCTTAACCACCTTTTTGGGCTATTGGTACCCCACCACTATTGACACTTTTTCAGGTTATTGGATTGTTCCAGTACAACTGGCCAACTCTGGGCACAACACTGTGACCTTTGAAATTTATCTGTGTCAAGTTTCTGGCTCTGTGGACTATTTTCAGGCTGACAGTGGTGCACCTTTTATCACAAAAGTCACTCAACAACAGTCAAGATGTTCAAGGGACCTTCTACACTCATGCCATCCATAGGCATCTAGTATTGAACATTGGAATGGGTCCCTCAAAAATAAATTCAAGAAGTTTTCTGACTCTACCGCCTTCCCTCCCTTCTGGTCCACACACTTTTGTAAAGCATTTTGGTCGCCCATTGCAGTTGTCTCTAGAAGGCTATTTCCTAGGAAGGTACATCTGGATCGATGGGGTAGGAAGGTAATAAAGACTTATTCTGAAAATTTGGGGTTCTGACCAAATGCTTCCTGGGAATGTTGCTTTCTTTCTTTCCCCTGACAGCAGCCCCAGGCCAGCCTGATTGGCATGCCTTCTAGATGAACAGTCCAGCTATAGCTGGGGGGGCCTAGAGGATCAACCCTGATTCTGGTCAGCCACCTGGACAAAGTGGGGGACACAATGGGTCTCTTTACATTTTGACCCTTCCAAACAAAAGGTTTGGGTACAAGAAAGGGACAACTAGAAAAAGAGGTAAGCTTACAAGCACTGGGACACACCAATTTTGAAGGGTGAGCTGCAACTCTGGTACCTAGGTAGGAAACACTTTGGATCCCAGGAAATAAGGAGGGAGAGAAGAACATTAATGATTTTTGTCTTTCATAATTGCCCCTGAAGTCTTCCTTATGAACAAAGGAACACCCCAGTGCAATTCTCCCACGCTTTTGCACACCCCCTTAAATTTAACCGACTCTGAAGTGAGGCACAGTGGCCTGTAATCCCAGCTACTCAGAAGGCTGAGGCAGGAATATTACTTGAGTCCAGGAATTTGAGACCAGCCTGGCAACATAGTAGATCCTGTCTCTAAAAAAAACTTTTTTTTTTTTTTTTCTGAGTTGGAGTCTCACTCTGTCGCCCAGACTGGAGTGCAGTGGCTGCTCCTGGCCACTGCAGCCTCGACCCACTGGGCTCCGGTGATCCTTCTGCCTCAGCCGTCCGAGTAGCCAGAATTACAGGCACGCGCTACCATGCCTGGCTGGTTTTTTTATTTTTTTATTGTAGAGATGAGGTCTCGCCAAGTTGCCCAGGTGGGTCTCGAACCCGCGGGCTCAGGCAATCCACTCACCTCAGCTTCCCAAAGTGCAGGATTACAGGCTGAGCCACCGAGCCCGGCTCTTTTTTTTTTTTTTTTTTCAGTCGGAATCTCACTCTGTCACCCAGGCTTGAGTGCAGCGGCATGCTCACGGCCATCGCAGCTCAGGTGATACTTCTATCTCAGCCTTCCAAGTAGCTGGAACCACAGGCATGCGCCACCACGTCCAGCTAATTTTTTTATTTATTGTAAAGACAAGGTCTCGCCATATTGCTTGGTCTTAAACCCCTGAGCTCAGGCAATCCTCTTGCCTTCGCCTCCCCAAGTGCTAGGAATACAGGCATGACCCACCGCGCCTGGCCTCTAAAAAACATTTTTAAAAAATTACCCAGGTGTGGTGGCATTCACCTATGGTCCCAGCTAGTACAGAACCTGAGGCTGGAATACTGCTTGAGCCCACTTGTTCGAGGCTGCAGTGAGCTATGACCAGGCCACTGAACTCCAATATGGGCAACAGAGTGAAACTTCCATCTTAAAAAAAAAAAATTAACTGCAGGTTCTGCCTTTTCCCAGAGGGCACTGACCATTCCCATTAAACTTACCAGAAGTTTACTGGAAACAACAAGGGATATCCCTGCCTTCTGTACCTCCCATGAAAAACACCGCAATGCTACCAGATGTCTTTCCCACCCCCATTCCCACAGACTTTGCTCAGCCATTCTGTGGAGAAATTAAATGCCACCTAGCTGGTGGCATGGACAAACAGGATAGACTGGACTAACTGCCCTCAGGTTGTCCTTCCAGATACAAGGATTAGACTCAATTATTCAGAGTAAACTGGAAGCCCAAAAGCCTTCCAGCTAGCCAGGATCTGTGCCCCAGTGGTGCAGGTCCCACTTGAGAGACCCCAACAATTGTAAACAACACTCTCTAGGGTTAACTATGTGTACTCTGTGGCTATACTTCTTGTGTGGAAGCTAGGCATTAACTTGCCAATCTCCCAAGAACAGTGTCTTGCATCTTCAAGGTTGTCATAAGAGACCTTCAAGAGGCTAACCAAACACCAATAGATCATGTAGCCCACAGACAACCACAGAAATCTCTCTGAACCAAGGCTGCCCTTGGTTAATCAGGGTAGCTTCCTGGACTGATAACTGACTTGTTACTTATGTGCACTACAGGGACAGTTATCCCTATGATGGGAGTCCCCTGATTAGAAAAGGTGATTCAATATTTGTCCCTGACTTTAGCTGAAGCGGTCAATGGTATCACCTTAGCCCTGGAAGGCATTCGGGTCAGTGTCAACTCCCTGGCCACGGTTGGTATGGTTGGCAGACTTGCCCTAGACTTCCCCCTAGTGGGCCACCAGTGGAAATTGTGCAACAGCTAATATTAATATCCTGCTGTACCTGGATTAGTAACTTAGTCAAGTGGAAAGGTCAATATTTGAGAAAGGCACTTGGTTTTCTAAGGTAGACCTTGATGGTTTATGATATTTGTTCAGCCTGTTGAGTTGGGGACCCTGGGGTCAGGACTGAGGTTAATTGTAGGCAGTGTGCATTCTGCTGATTGAATCCTGTTCGTTAAATTAATATTGAGACAAATTGAATTGATTTGGTCTAGCTTGCTGATCAGATTAATCAGAGTGACTGATAAAATGGCATACTCATAGAAAAACTGCCAGAAGTCAAGATTGTATAGAAATGAGAGGTAGATGTTATCAGTAGATTACATCTTCCCTCCACGATCTCTCAAGAGTTTGTGTATGTGTCTTGTAAGCTACAACTATGCAGGCCTTTGTTCCATACTAACTTTCTGAAGAGTTTGCATAGGGAACAAAGGTAGGTGCAAAGCAAAGGACAGGTGTTCATGGGACCTTGACAGGTAAAGATAATGTCTCCCTTTAGTGCAAAGGGAAGGCACACTAGCTGTCAGTCCATAACAAAAGATGTGAATTCTCTAAGCTCTCTTCCTTTTTCCTTTCCTCAAGGCAATACAAAGGATTCACTTGGTCTTCTCTATGTTGCCCTGTGGTAACTGGCGCTTGGGAAACTGCTGTTAAGAAAATGCTGGAACTCTGACCACTGCTATGGCCATACAATAGTTAACACATAATTTTAAAATACTGCAAATAGTTATAGTAAAATAGTTATAGAAAAATGTTGGATCCACTTTTATGAAGGACTGTGTGTGTATTTGCAGTAAATTCAGTGTGTGTCCTTTGTCTGTGCCCCAGGAGTGTCATGTCTTCTGCAACTTATCAGCTTGCAAAAAGAGTAAAATCTGACTTCAGTTTTGATATAATAATGTTCATGTTTTTTCATATTTCTTCATGATTCAATCTCGACAGGTTTTGTATTTCTAGGAATTTGCCCATTTCACCTAGGCTATCCAGTTTATTGATGAATTGTCCATACTACTATTTTAGGGGGTCATTTCAGGGTTTAGCTCATGCCTGGAACACATAGATGCTCAGGACACATTTGGATGAACCTGGGGTAGAGATTTTTGTTTCATATGGCCATTGCTGATGCCACAGGGCAGACTCTCATGTGAGAACTTGCAGTGGTTCAGTGTATGTGGCCTGCAGGCCCACGTGACCCTGTACAATCTTAGATGAAGGCTTCTGACCCTCAGTTTTCTCACACGTAAGATGATAGGTGGCTGAGCTAAGGTGCCCGGGGGGCCTTCCTGCCAGGCTACTGCTATATTGCTGATATCTTGTATCAGGTGGGATGGCCAAACAGTGTGATCCACAGAAAAACAGGACTAAGGCAATCTCAAGGGTAGACCATGTGTTAGACCATAAAACATGTCTTAGTAAATTTTTTTTTATAAAGACAAGGTCTCGCTGTGCTGTCCAATGAACCCAAAAAGATTAATAAAATTGATGACCTTTAGCTAGATTGACTAAGAAAAAAAGAGAAGACTGATTACTAAAATCAGAAATGAAAGTGGGGACTAAAAAAAAGTGGGAACATTACTACCATTCTACAGAAGTAAAGGATTCTAAGAGCACTATAGGTCAGGTGCGGTGGCTCATGCCTGTAATCCCAGCACTTTGGGAGGCAGAGGTGAGAGGATGGCTTGAGCCCAGGAGTTTGAGACCACCTGGGCAACATAGTGAGACCTCATCTCTGCAAAAAAAAAATTAGGCAGGTGTGGTGGCACACGCCTGCAGTCCCAGCTACTTGGAGGCTGATGCAGGAGGATCGCCTGAGCCCAAGAGTCAGAGGCTATGGTGAGCCATGATCACACCACTGCACTCCAGCCTGAGCAACAGAATGAAACCCCAACACACACACATACAAAAGGCCTCTCTTGGCACAGGAATGCTCAGCACATGCTGATGGTCTGTCCTGCATGTAAATTTCTGTTGCCACATTATGCCTGGACTACCACCACCCTCTTCACCCTGACTTTATGAAAATAGTCATGAGTGCCTTTAAATTCAATCACATTAGAGAAGAATTCCAGAAAACCCAGAACCAATACAGAAAACTCATCTTTAGGATTCTATTCTGCTGGAACCATTTCTGGCACAAAAATCTGTGTCAGATCCAACCAGAGAAGCAGAATCAGTAGGATATATATTAAGAGATTTATTGCAAGGAATTGACTTCAGTGATTCTAAGGGCTGAATAGTCACTTCCAAAATCTGAAGGGTAGGCTGTCAGGAAAGGCAGGCTGTCAGGACCTCTGACCAAGGGCTGAGTTGCTGTCCACAGGCAGAATTTCTTTTTCTCAGGGAAGTCTTAGATCTGCTCTTTAGGCCTTCTGACTGATCAAGTCAGGCCTCCCCAATTATCTGGAATAATCTCACTTACTTAGTCAACTGAGTATGGACTTTAGTCACATCTACAAATACCTTCACAGTAATACCTAGACTAGTGTCTAGGGGATTATAGCCTAGACAAGTCAACATATAGAAAGACTGTTCCACCTGCTGCATATAAATTGGCTCAGGGACTTGGGATCAGCCCTCACCCTTTTCCCACTGGCACACAGACTCCCACACTAAGGGTTGGGGTGTCCCATCTATTTAACTTCAAATCCACCTACACAAGCAGTGCCTGGGCATTTTTTTGAAAATTGAAATAAAAGTCACATAACCTAAAATGAACATTTAAAAGTATACAATTCAGTGGTATTTAGTACATTCAGTGTTGTGTACCTATCACTTCTATCTAGTCCCAAAACATTACCAATACCCCAGAAGGAAACCTTGCACCCAGTAAGCAGTCACTCCCCATCCCACTCTCCTGCTGCCTGACCATTTTAAAACCAATATAGACAGCAACATTATCAGGGAGAACATAGACACCTTAAACCTGCTACACTTGCTAATCTGCTTGGGGCAGAGGTATCCTCCAAGTCCCAAGGCAGACAGAAGATGAAGCCAGCTACTCTTTCATGATTGTGGGGCTGTAGTTGGGTTTGACAGATTCAGCAAGCTCCTGTGCGTACATCTCGTATCTGCCGGTCATCTGGAAGCAAAACAGACATTACTTTAGTGGTTCCTGTTTTATAAACGCCCTCACATACTTGCCGCCACCTCTTGCCACAGGAGGGCAGCCGTGGGACAGGAATGTATCAGGAAGGCTGATTGATGGGACGACTTCAGACTAATACAGACAAACAACCCTTGTGTGACCTCTCCACACTGATTCCGGTGCTGTGGTGAAGTTCACGGATGCTATGATGACTCACACAGCCCAGCCTTGCCTGCTGTGACCTCTGTGACCTGTCTAGAAGGTGTGGTCTTCCCTGAGGCAGGAGGAAGGAGGGTTGTCTTGTAGCCTGCAACACAGGGAACCCAGAGAAAGGCATGACCTGCTCCAGGTCGCCAGCCAGGAGGGGAGAAGGCCAGGATCTGAACCAGGGTCTCCTGGTTGGGTCTGGAAAGTCCACCCAGAATGCTTATACCTGGCACACCCTCCCTTCCTCCTTTCCCAAGACGAGCTCCTTCCAAAAGACTCAACATAAGCACATGCCCATCACCACAGCTGAGAGGGTTTCTGCTTCTAACAAGTGTCTAATGAGAAAACATTTGGTTTATTGTTCTTCATGATACTTGTTAAAAGAGTTGGCCAGTGTTCTTGGTTCTGACCTCTGATTTGGGTGGAACCTTGCATTTATCTGAGCTGCCCAGGAAGAGGACAAACAGGTCTCTCATGGGCAATACCTTGTCTGATAAAGATCTGAGACTGAGGGGACGTGCCCAAGGACTCACTTAAGTGAGCAAGAGAGCAAGGCCTAGAGCCCATGTCTGGCTGGACTGGAAGCCCTGGAGTCCTCCCAGTCACACCGGGAGAAGTCATTTAATAACATGACATTTGCTGTATGATTTGCTCATAAATGGGTGCTGATTTGATAGAAATACTGGGGACATGAATACAGCAAACCCTGAAGCCATGAGCCCTTCAGAGAGGTCCCATTCCAGCAGGGTAGGCACCTCTGCTCCTCTTAGACTCCTAAGAGGAGTCTTAGGAGTCAAGGCATTAGGTCTCAGAGGCAGCATGGGACCTTCAAGTGAAGCCTCTCACTTTACAGCTGGGAGCACTAAGGCATGGAAGCAGAAGGGGCATGTAAGCAAGGTGACTGAGCAAGGCAGTGCCAGAGCCAGGCCTAGGTTCCACTTCTCTGGAGGACCCATTTCCTGCTATTGTCAAGACCTAGGCTGTGGGGCCTGGCCACAGGCAGAACCAGACACACACATTTATCTTGTGATAACTACAAATGCCTGGAAGGAAAAAAGGATTAGAGAAGCCAATCTACTCCATTTTCTGGACAAATGAAATTGAGATTAATTTGTTCGAAGGTGCCCAGAATCTAAATCAGATGACAGAATTGATTGTAGCCTGCTGCTTGTGCATCTTCTGTTCCAGTGGTTCCTCCCTGGAGCCAGCAATGAGGCAAAGACCTGGCCCTCTGCTCAACACAGAGCCCTTGGGTGGGGAGGGCAAACTCAGCAACAGCGGTTCCCAGGCCTGAGGACAGGACAGGAGCAAAACAAAGGAGCAGGCAATAGTGGGCCTAGGGACTGACCTTGAAGTTCCAGACATCATTCATCTGCCGACAGAGGTTGAGGTCAAGCTCGGCAACCAGCAGCCCATCCAGGCTACGGGACAGCCCAGGAGTCCGGCTGCTATCAGGGGCTGCCACGTAGCTTGAGCCATAAAAATAGCCAAAGTCCTTGTGAGCTTTAAAGGAACAAAGGAGAGGAACTGTGAACTTGTGTAGATGCACTGTGGGCTTTGCAGAGGAATAGGAATATCATAGCATGCCCAGGACAAGGTGTCCACACCACCTTCCCCAGTGTCTACCATATGCTGAAGCCCAAAGGACCTGTCTCCCTCCTCAGGTTTAATGGCCCAGAAAGTTGCTGCAAAGGTCCCCCTTGCATTGCTCCCCTCTGACCCTGGGAAAATGTCCAAATGTCACCCTTGTACAGGTGTTGGCCATTAGCACCCAGCATAGGCCACCCACAGCCCAAGGGAGTCACACATTCTAGGGGTTTCCTGTGTGGCCCCACATGTGAGCTGGAGGCTCTGCTCTCACCTGCTTTGCCAGCTGCAACACCCTCTCCCTCCCTCCATACCTTGGTCTCTTCACCAGTCAGGGAGGGCTAACAGCCACCCTGCAGGCGTGTAAGGAGCAGGTGGGGCAGGGCAGGGCCTAGTACAGCCCAGACACAGCAAGCACCCAGTGGATACTCACTTCCCTGCCTCTTCCACACCTCTGTCTTCAGGACACTAACTGGGATCAGAGACCCTGGAAATCGAGGCCCTCAAGTCGGGGGAACTGGGACCTTTCAGGAAGTATTTTCCTGGTGGACACTGAGCTAGTTTAAATACCTCCTTGGTCAGGAGAGCAGCTCCTACCTCCCACACCCTGGGCCAGAAATGTGGGACCTGGGATGTGGGGTTCTTAGTAGATGTGAGGTGGTAAGTGGTATGTGCCCTCAGATCAAAACAAGCTGTGGACTCTAGGAACCCAGGGCAATGCATGTCACTGCTCTGGGGGCACTTGTACAGTTGAGGGGGGACAAGGACAAAGGCAAAGAAGGAAGGAGGTACAGACTGGATGAGAGCCCCTACCCCTTCAGGGAGCTCACAAAGGGCTACTCCACATCTCCTTGGTCTATCTTTACACCTGTCCTAGAGGAGGAATGAAGTCTGACTCACTCCCCAAGTCCAGGACTGCCTATCCCAGGTCATACCCAGACTCCTACGCTACAGGAAGTAAAGCAGAGAGGAGCCAGAGTATCCTTCTTGGTGCCAGGAATGTAGTCATGGTCTCGGTGCCAGGAATGTAGTCATGGTTTTCCTGCCCGAGGAAGCAGAAAAAGGAGGGGAGAGGGAGGCCCACTCCTCGACTGAAGTCACCATGGAAATTCATGGAACATACCTTTCTTTCCATCTCCAGAGGTAAACTCATTCGGGAAGTGCTCCTGTGAAATAAGATCAAGGTAAGGAGACGCCTCTAGGTGGCACTACCACTACATTCATTCCAGATCATTCAGCCAGACCAAGCGCAGCAATCAGACTGGGCGGAGTTAGTTAAGAAACAGTAAGTGAGATGGAATGGTCTGTACTTGCTGGGCAATCAACAAGTACTTATTAAATGTCCCTGTGAGCACCAGCACTGGCAGCCAGTGGGGAAATGGACAAGCAAGGCAAAGACCAGGACGACTTTGCCTTTGGGGAGTTCAGAATCTGGGAGAAAAAGAAGACACTGGGCGCAGACTGGTTCTCAGGGCTGTGGCAGGCACCTGAGGTAGGCCTGCCCGAAGTCATAAAACCCCAGTCTGGGTCTGTGAAGGCAGTGAGGAGGTGGGGTGGGTCCACACGTTGCTTTCAATATCTTCCCCAAAGCCTAAAGGAAACTGCATCAAGCTGTGATGGGGATACACAGGCTAATTAAAATACCAGGTTTCAGCCGGGCTCGGTGGCTCAGCCTGTAATCCCGTGCCTTTGGGAGGCTGAGGTGAGTGGATTGCCTGAGCCCGCGGGTTCGAGACCCGTCTGGGCAGCGAGACCTCATCTCTACAATAAATCAAAAAATCAGCCGGGCGTGGTAGCGCAAGCCTGTAATTCCGGCTACTCGGAAGGCTGAGGCGGGAGGATCGCCGGAGCCCAGCAGATCGAGGCTGCGGTGGCCGGGAGCGGCCACTGCACTCCAGTCTGGGCGACCGAGTGAGACTCCGACTCAAAAAAAAAAAAAAATACCAGGTTTCTTTATGTTGCTAGAAAGCAGAGCTAGTTAGTGTGGAAACCTTGGTTTGCTCAAACTGATCAGATCCTTTGATTAGAGCCTGACATCTGATTAGTAAGAATGAAGAAGAGGATTATTACATAATAAATGCATTGTGTTTGGCAGTCAAAATCATTTGGTATTTGGGGTCAACAAGAAAAAAAAAGAAACAAGAGGCTGAGATGGGAGGATCACGTAAGTCCAGGCTGGGCAACATAGAAAAGGCCTTGTCCCTACAAAACAATTTTAAAAAATCAGTGGAATGTGGTGTTGTACACCTGTAGTTCCAGCTGCCTGGGAGGCTGTGGTAGGAGGATGACTTCAGCCCAGGCGTTTGAGGCTGCAGTGAGCCATAATCACACCACTGTACTCTAGTCTGCAAGACAGAGAGAGATGTCTCTAAAAAAAGAAAAAGAAACTGGACACTTGAAGGTGATAGGGTGAGAATCACCACATCAAAGATCCTTTCAAAACAGTTTCAGCTAAAAAACAGAAAAAAATAGGAGGATGACATAGTGAGCTCTTTAAGAGCAACAAATCCAAACAGTCTTTCCCCTTCTGGGATTTGTGGCATGTGCACAGAGGGGATGGGGAGAAGAGATGTGACATATCCCCACCAGGACCCTCAGATGGTGGCTCCCCTCCTCAGCCAGACCTCCGGGACTCACCTTGCCCACGCGGTTGATGGCACAGGTAAAGCAGTGATTGGCAATGGCTGCGTTTCTGGCCTCGATAGGCCATAAGGACTCGCTGTAAGGGAGGAACAAGAGAGAGGAGGTTGGCCATTTCCCAGCCAGATTTAGTGGATGCTCAGCCCTGAGCGGCAGCCAGACTACAGGCTTTCCTAGGGCTGTGATAGGGCAGCCAGGGAGACTCATTGTACCTATGAGTCACACTCCAAACGTGCAAGCAGGCTGGCTTGTCCTCAGCACTTTGCCTAGGCCCTAACAGTCTTTTGGGGATGGCCTGCTGCAGGCAGAAACCACATAGTCGTGGTCTGTCAGAAGTGTTGGAAAGCCCTGAGCCACAGTTTCCTTTTCTGAAACATCCTCAAAGGAAGACTGTGAAGAGTAAATGACCGTGCAGATGAAGCTCCACATGGCAGGACTGGCATAACCCACCTCCTTTTCTTCTCCTAGGAACCCACCTTCTGGGCTGTGCAGAACCTCTTCTGGTAAATGCCAGAAGGGAGCTGGGAGCCTGGCAAGCTTATGAGGCCTGCGAGGGCTGAGTACGGGCTCTAACTGCCCTACTCTAATTTTCCTGCCCTCCTGTGCTGCCTTGCAAAGCAGTCTCCAAAGAGAAGATTTCAGGCTAAGTAGAAAAGAAAGCAACTTGGGTAATAGGAGTCAGATTCTACAAGAATCACCTTCTCTAAGCTAGTTCCTATTTCCCAGTGCCTTCCCATTTTTCTCTTCTGAAACCCAAGTCTCTAAGTAGGTAGGGTCTCCTTAGTTCTCTGGCTGGGGGGCGGGGCAGCCCAGGAGGGAGGTACCCACAGGCTCAACTGAGCTATAGGCCTTCCTTAGTTCACCACCCACAAAGGGAAACTGCGGTGGGAAACCCAGCCCCAACCGGATCTGGTCCTTCTCCAGCTTGCCATGTACCATGGAACCCAGTGGGCTGTCTTGTCACAAATTATTTCTTGTCTGTGGAACATCATTAAGACTCTGGATTGATAGGAGTAATGCCCACTTAGAAACACTGAGTTACTGGGAGCAAAATGCACTGGAATCTTCCTTCCTGTCAGCGTGCACCTGGTTTAAACCAGGGAGTAGGTGGAAGGGGTGGGTGCTTGTCACAAGCCTATTTCTCAGGAGGATTTACAAGTCTGGGGGAAAAAAAAAATCACAGGCTTGATTGAGGGGACTTATTTTGCTGCTTTTTTCCCCCAGCTGTTAAGGCAAGCTGACAAAACTTTTCAGAAACGATTTTTACAGAAACACACCAGTAAATGACATTTTCAGGAATTAAATAGACACTTGCAGGGTGATTGCCATAAACATCTTTCTCACAATTCTCTAGGGAGGTGTTCTGCATAGGACCCAAACCCACAGCTGGCAATAAATTTATGCTCTCAAAACAACCAGGGGAAAGGAAGAAGGGGCTCATGAGAGCCCAGTGTGTTTGGGAATTATGAAGAGCTCATGGGGGATGGGGATATTTGCTGTATTCCCAGTGTGGCATACACAAACCCCTAAAAATAATCATAGTGAGAAAGCAAGATGCAGTGAGGGGATGGGACGGCGACTTTCCGATTAATATACATAGGTGGTAGAAATCTTCAGTCACTCAGGCAGCAAGGAACACATCCTGGGATTGTCAAAATGATTCAATCAAAAAGCACCCAGGCCAGGTGCGATGGTTCACACCTATAATCCCAGAACTTTGGGAGGCTGAGGTGAGAGGATTGCCTGAGCCCACGGGTTTGAGACCAGCCCGGGCAACTTGGTGAGACCTCATCTCCACAATAAATCAAAAGATTAGCCAGGCATGGTGGCACATGCCTGTAGTTACAGCTACTTGAAGGGCCCAGCAGGTCAAGGCCACCGCACTCCAGCCTGGGCAACAGAGTGAGACTCTGACTTTAAAAAAAAAAAAAAAAAAAAGCACCCAGACTCCACTGTGTGCTTAGAACTGTAGGACTCAAAAATGAACAAGAACATTCTGCCAACCACGGTGTGCATGCATACATGTGTGTCTGTCTATCTCTGATATAGAGACAAAAGATGCCAGATCAGAGTATGGATGGTTATAGAATGCTTGTGTGCAACTGGTGGAGATTTGCCCAGCACTGTACTTAAAAACACTATCAATTCCACAAGTAATCACTTATTATTTTAGGAAAATCACCCAGGATTCTACCGTCTTAATAAATCCCTTGTTGCCATTTTCCCACACTCCGTGACCAACTTCGTCCACAGGCAATAACATTTTACAGAATTCTAGCCACAGCTTGGATATATCTTTTTCTTGCTCACAGGCTTTTGTCTTTGTCTTCACAATGACTCTTTTTAGTGGCTGTACAATGACCCATGGAAGAGATGGGCTGCATTGTACTGATGCTGGACGCTTACTCTCCTGCCAGCTTTTCTCCTAAGTAATGCTGCCGTGAACACCTTCAAACACACACTGCCTTCCCTCCTTTCTTATATCACTCCTTCACACTGCACAGTTCTAGGACTATCATTATCTGGCTACAGAGTGTGAGCATAACAGGAGCGGATGAAACACTGCTTCCCAAAAAAACCTGTTATGGCTTTTCTTTTTTTTAGTTGGAGTCTCATTCTGTTGCCCAGGCTGGAGTGCAATGGCATGCTCATGGCCACCGCACCCTTGACCCTGCTGGGCACAGGCGATCCTTCCACCTCAGCCTTCCAAGTAGCTGGAACTACAGACATGCACTAACATGCCCAGCTAATTTTTTATTTATTGTGGAAACGAGCTCTTGCCAAGTTGCCCGGGCTGGTCTCGAACCTGCAGGCTCAGGCAATCTACTCGCCTTGGCTTCCCAAAGTGCTGGGATTACAGGCTAAGCCACCAAGCCTGGCCTGTTATAGTTTTTACTGCCAGCCTCACCACACCCTGGAAAGCCAAGGGCTGAATGATTTTTGGTTGAGGAAGAAAAATCAATCATTTTTAATAAGCCTAATAGGCTGCTGAGGACATAAGCAATTATATGTATATTACACTGGGGTGCTTCTGTTTGCCTAACTGGGGTTGATATAAGCCTAAGATAGCGAGGTCAGGGAGGGCCTCTGCACATGAGGCGAGGTAACCATCTGAGTCTGTGGGCACAGCTCTGCCTGTCCTGGCCCAAAAGCCAGTTCAAGTCTGAGCCCAGCAGGTCGAGGGCGCCCAGGTCATGAGATTCAGGTTCCTCTAAGGACCTCTGCAGGGAGATGGAGCTCACTGAATGTATTATACAGAGCCGGCAGAAGGGTGCTGCTCTAGTGGGTGGCCCCAAGGTTCTGCCCAGGCCTGGTGGCTGGATGACCAGTAAGCATCCCACCCATGGCCACCAAGAGTCTCCGGTATATTTTCCACGGGCCAACTCTAAGGTAAGAGTGAGGCCTGATTTTCTTCTTCTATCCTCCTGGACACAGATCAGACCTCCAGGTGCACAGACAGGTGTGATGAACCTGAAGTAGTAGACTGAAGGTTGCATTCTGGCTTGGGAAGGGAGGGAATGTCACTCTCAAGAACAGGGCACTGCAGTGTAATGTCACATTTTGACATTTAGAAGATATCTGAAATTTAGTCAAGAATGAAAACAAGAAAGACAGGCGTGGACTGACAGAGAACTCAAAGTTGCCCACCTGAACTCTCCCTACCGCCCCTCACAGGACAGGCATACTCCTGTTCTGCTGTGGACACTGGCAACCAAGACCACAGTGAAAGTCAGAACCTCCTGCCCCAGGAATCCTGCTTGGGAGGAAGTGAGTTGGGAAGTAAACTATTTGCACATAAATTCCTAGAGCTCTGTTACTTGTGATGATGCGGAATTGGAAACCACCCAAATGCTCAGCCACTGGGGAGAAAGAAGCAGAAGAGCAGTCATGCAGGCTCTGCTTAGCTCACTCAATGACCTTATTAAATGAGGGGCAGCCAGGCGCAGTGGCTCATGCCTATAATCCCAGCACTTTGGGAGGCGAAGGCAGGAGCATTGCTTGAGCCCAGGAGTTTGAGACTAGCCTAGGTAACATAGTTAGACCTTGTTTCTACAAAAAATAAAAAACTTAGCATGGTGGCATGTGACTGTAATTCCAGCTACTTGGGAGGCTGAGGCGAGACGATTGCTTGAGCTCATGAGGTTGAGGCTGTAGTGAGCTATGTTCATGCCACTGTACTCCAGCCTGAGTGACAGAGTGAGACTCTGATCTCTTAAGGGTCCTCTTCGCTCCAACTCCCTCATTTGCTTCTTCTCTTGTCCAGAAGTCTGCCCTCCCCAGGAAGGAAGACACTACAGATATGAGGACTAGGAACCCACAGGCCCTGTCCAGGAGCTAATGCTGGCCAAGAAGCTACCATGCTCCAGGCACTCAGACATGAGGCTTTTTAATCCTGATGACTTTGGGGGATGGTGGGGGCATATTATTTTAATCTCAGGGTTCAGAATCATAGCAAAGGTTGGTGTTTTACAGTAGACCAGCTCTTGTAAGGTGGGGGGGGGCAGGGGTCTGTTAATTGTCATCTTGAGAATTATTTTCACTGGAAAGTTGGTTAAATGTATAACATACAATCTCAGGGCTCAGATCTATTAGGCATCCTGGTGGTCCTACCCTCCTGCTGCAGTTTACCAAACCCATCTCTGAGCCCCATGGCCCAGCCTTGGGTCTGAGATGACTGGGCCCAGGAAGTCGCCCCAGATCCTGCCCACTGAGTGACCTGAGTGTTCCGATGGTGGCTGAGGGGTTGAAGATGATCTCGGCTCCATTGATGCTGTACATGAGCCAGTTGAGAGGGTGGTGCCGCCCGTAGCAAATATTCACCGCAATCTTTCCAAACTGTGTCTGGAACACGGGGTGGCCCAGGTTTCCCTCCATGTAGTAAGTTGACTGAAAAACAAAGGGCCATATAGTGACACCTCTGACCTATAAAACTTCCCTTTCCTTAAACTTGGCAGAAAAACTGAAATATTGCCTGTAGTCTAAAAGTCACAGCCTTGAGTGGGACTCTACATTAAGTTCCAGAATTTCAATATGTTAAAACAAAAACAACCCCAAAAAACCCAGACACAATAACATGCCAACCCCAAGGGAGAAATCACTGTGGCTTAAGCATTTTCCACATTCCTTTGTAGCATGTCAAAAATTCCCCAAAGCAACTTTCCACACTATTTCAAGGATAAACTCTGGTGAGGTTTCAATCATGGTACAACCAAAGGCTCAGGTTTGGTCGATGCTAACATGAGTTGGTCAACGTCCTCACCAACCACACATCCTTATATAGAATGTTAGAGCTGAAGGGACCTAGAGCTTATCCAGAGCAAACTGTCTCAGAGGAGAAAACTGTCTATCGAATGGGCATGTAACTGGCCCAGTTAATTAAGGTCAAATCTGCGAGTGGAGCCCACATCCTGAAAGTCCTCTTTTATCCACAAACGTGTCTTGGGCATTCTGCCTGGGGTTATGGAGGTCCCTGTGAGGCAGGCAGACTGGACCCTATCCTCCCATCCCTGCCTTTCCACCCGCCTCTTGGAGTGTCCACCCTGGGACATTATCCCAGACAGCAATGAGGGATGCTAGAGGGAAAGTCAGGGGCCCAAACAGATTTGCTTCAGGAGCCTTTGCCTCCTTCCATTGGTTTCAGAATTGGTCAGGGTCAGGCAACAACCAGGATGTGTGCACAGACTGGACACCAAAACAGACGCTGCTGTGCTGAGACAAGCCCTGTGCTATCTACAGGGAGCTAAAGATTAATCCCAGGGTAAACAGGTGAGGGGCACATCTTCCCACCCCATCTCTAGCTGTTACTGAGAAACACCAGGTTCTTCTTTTTCTCCTGGGAACCTCATTTAGCCCTGTTGACTGTCTGCCTGACCAGCCTGAGAATGGCTGGGACCCCCACGATCAGGGAAGGAGGTCAAAGGCTAGGAATATCACATCCTGAGCAACTGTATTAATTGCAAATCAAGTTCAGATTTAGTATTTTAAGTATTAGGTGGTGTTCATGTCCCTCTTTCACATATCCACCCCCTCTCCCTTACCCACTCATGGGTTGGCATTAACCAATCAAAAAGGCTTCCTGACTTATGTACTTATCATGAGCATGAGCACAAGAAGTCCCGTGTAATGCACAGGTACACAGACATGCACATTCACCTACTATCACCTGACATACAAACACAGGCCACTTCAGACCCCACATGAGCCATGAACAGGAAATGCCACCCTCCAAACAAGGACTGGGCTGTGGTAGGCTAGGAGCTCAGAGCCTAAAAGGAACTGTAGGAATCATTTCATGTTTGTACACTATTTATTTATTTTTATTTACTTATTTTTATTTAATTTATATACCAGCCAGGTGTGATGGCTCATGCCTGTAATCTCACCACTTTAGGGGGAAGAGGCGAGAGGACTGCCTGAGCCCAGGGATACAAGAGCAGTCTGGGCAACTTGACTTCATCTCTACAATAAATCAAAAAATTAGCCAGAAGGATTGCCTGAGCCCAGTAGGTCAAGGCAGGGTGACCATAAGTGTGCCACTGTATTCCAACCTGGGTGACACAGTAAGACTCCGATTCAAGAAAAAAAAAAATGCCAGGCATAGTAGTTTGTGCCTATAGTTCCAGCTACTTGGAAGGTTGAGGTGGAAGGATCTCCTGAGCCCAGCAGATTGAGGCTGCGGTGGTTGTGAGCATGCCACTGCCCTCTAGCCTGGGTGACAGAATGAGACTCCAACTAAAAAAAAAAATTTATATACCATTTACTTCAAAGAAGACTTTCAGGAAGCCAAATCAGGTTATATTTAAATGTATACACACACACATATATATATAACTACATGTATGTGTGTGTGTAGCACAGTGGGGTGTATTTGTGTGTGTGTGTGTTAATATACGCACACACACAAATACACCCCACTGTGCTAAAGACTCTTCCAAGAGTCCCATCTAGTCCCATGCACCTATATGAGGCAGGGCAATGTCAGGAGACCCTCTGAGCACCATAGCCACACTGTGTTCCAGTAGGGTGTGCAGGACATAGAACATGATGCAACACAGAACTTCCCCCACAGAAAGGCCCACGGAGATTGACAAAGGGGTGAGTGGAGTGTGCTGGTCAACTGATGGGTAGCTCACCTCATTGAAATCACCCACTCTGGGTATGTGGTTCTTCCTAGTCTTTCCCAGGACTGCTCCAGAATTGGAGATCACCACAGCTGTGTTCCACAAAACATCCCCATGTTCTCCATCTCGTTCCAGGATGGGGGACACTACCACCATGTCATGCTTCTTTGCCAGCTGGAAAAAAGGGGAGTATAAGCAGAGTCTCACTTTCAGACAAATTGTCACAGCTCTTTTATTAAAGAAGAATGATCCTACTAAATAATCTGGCTTGGGTCAGAGCTACTACTTGCATTTGTTGTTTAGAATACTAAATGCCCTGACGTTCATACTTAGTTAAATAACAATAATCGTTGTCCTTGTGCACTGCTGGTGGGATTATAAAATGGTGCAGCCACACTAGAAAGCCATATGGAGGGTCCTCAAAAAATTAAACACATGGCCGGGCGTGGTAGCTTAAGCCTGTAATTCCAGCACTTTGGGAGGCCGAGGTGAGGGGCTTGCCTGAGCCCACGAGTTTAAAAACAGCCTGGACAACTTGGCGAGACCTCATCTCTACAATAAATCAGAAAAAAAAAAAATTAGCCAGGCGAGGTAGCATGTGCCTCTATTTCTGGTTACTTGGAAGGCTGAGGCAGAAGGATTGCTGGAGCCCAGCAGGCTGATGCTGGGGTGGCTGTGAGCATGCCACTGTACTCCAGCCATGGGAAATAAAAGGGGCTGAGTGAGACTACAACTCAAAAAAAAAAAATATTAAACACAGAATTAGCATATGATCTGGCAATCCCACTTCTGGGTACACACCCAAAAGAATTGAAAGCAGGGTCTCAAAGAGATATTTGCATACCCATGTTCCTAGCAGCATTATCACAATAGCCAAGAGATGAAAGCAATCCAAATGTCCATCAATGGTTGAATAGATAAACCAAATGTAGTATATACATACCATGGAAAATTATTCAGTCTTAAATAGGAAGGAAGTCCTATCATGGACTACAACAAGGATAAACCTTAAAGACATTATGCTAAATAAAATGTTACAAAAGACAAATATGCCTATATGATTACATTTATATAACGTACCTAGAGTAGTCAAATTCACAAAAACAGAAAGTGAACTGGTGGTTACTAAGGGCTGGGGAAATGGGGAGCTATTTTTTAAACGGATATAGAGTCTCAGATTTGCAAGTTGCAAAAGTTCTAGAGATCTGTTGCACAACAATGTGAATAAACTTCACATGACTGAACTTTCCACTTAAAAATGGTTAAGAAGGCTGCGTGTGCTCAAGCCTGTAATCCCAGCACTTTGGAAGGCCGAGGCAAGAGGATTGCCTGAGCCCGCAGGTTAGAGACCAGCCTGGGTAACATGGTGGGACCTCATCTCTACAATAAATAAAAAATTAGCCAGGCATGGTAGCATGTGCCTAGTTACAGCTACTTGGAAGGCTGAGGTGGAAGGATCGCTGGAGACCAGCAGGTTGCCACTGGGGTGGCTGTGAGCGTGCCACTGCCTGGGTGGGAGATTAAGACTCCAACCCCCCCCCCAAAAAAGGTTAACAGGGTAAATTTTGTGGTATACATTTTTTACCACACACACACACACAAAAGAATTAATAAGAACCATCAACTTCTCACCTATACCAAAAATAAAGCTCTTTGGCACCAAATCTCTTTTGTCTCAAATGAAAACAAGATCCAGTGACCATCAGGATAAGTGGCCCCAGCCAGTCATTTGTCCTCAGCTTTAACTAACTGCCATTACCTCTGGCCTCAATGACAGGAAAGAGGGAAAGGCATACTCAGCAGGCAACACCAGGAGTTATATTATGGGCAGCCTCGGTCCCCAGATCTGCTGTGAGGCAGACAGGTGTCCCCAGCACCAGCTCTCATTCACACCCATTCTCCAGCTGGGGTCTAAGTTTATTATCTACGACAACCCCCTAACAAGTCCCCTTCCTCTTTTTTCTGTAGCAGTAAATCAACAACCTGGTGAATAAGATAATTTTTTTCCTACAGCCTGAGAACACTGATATTTGTAATCACACCTCAGTATTGATAAAGTCACTATGATTACAGCTCTGCAAAAAACCCCTAAGTATAAGGATAAAGTCTGAAAGAGAATATAGAGAAATAAAAGGAATTCTTTTGTCAGAGTGAGAATAAGGATAACTTACCATTCGTCACCTCTTGGAATGTTACGGGTTTTTCTGATAACAGCCTTATTAAGATATAATTCACATAGCATAAAGTTTATTCAATTGTTTGCTTTGTTGTTTGTTTGAGTCAGGGTCTCCTGTCACCCAGACTAGAGAGCAGTAGCAAGATCCTGGCTCACTGCAGCGTTGGCCTCCTGGACTTAAGTGTCCTCCCATCTCAGCCTCTCAAGTAGCTAGACTACAGACACGCACCACCAGGCCCAGCTAATTTTTCAAAATTTTTATAGAGATGAGGTCTCACAATGTTGTCCAGGCTGGTCTTGAACTCCTGTGCTCAAGTGATCCTCCTGCCTCAGCCTCCCAAAGTGCTGGGATTACAGGCATGAGCAACCATGCCTGGCCAATTATTTGTTTTTTAAGACTGGTTAAGTACAATAATGAGAAGAAGGAGCAGACTACAACAAGGAGTCACTCTTTTAAAGTGTGCGATGCAGTGGTTTTCAGTATATTAACAGAGTTGTGCAACCATTACCACTAATTTTAGAACATTTTTATCACTCTAAACAGAAACCTTGTACCCATTAGCAGCCACTCCCCTTCCCCCTCATCCCCAACCCTTGGCAACCACTAGTCTGCCTTCTGTCTCTATGGATTTGCCTATTCTGGACAGGTCACATAAATAGGATCATACAATACGTATTATGAGGTTTTAATGAAGAAAAATCAAGACCAATTTCTACACTGATGAGACAGGCCATGTATCGAACCTTCTGTAACTCACGCCAACTACAGTGGAGCAAGCAGAGCTCAGGACAAGGAGTTGGCATACCTGATCCCAGATCTCTGTTGCTTACCAGGTGCAAGACTTGCTATGGAAGGCAGACCAGACCACCCTCCCTGGGCTGCAGGTCCTTTGCCTGACAGAGCCATGAAGAGCCCTTCTGGCTCTGAGACTCTCCAATTTTTTTTTGAGTCGGAGTCTCACTCTGTCACCCAGGCCACCGCAGCCTCGACCTGCTGGGCTCAGGCGATCCTTCCGCCTCAGCCTTCCAAGTAGCTGGAACTACAGGCATGTGCCACCACGCTCAGCTAATTTTTTGATTTATTGTAGAGATGAGGTTGCCCAGGCTGGTCTCCAACCCATGGGCTCAGGCAATCCTCTCATCTCGGCCTCCCAAAGTGCTAGGATTATAGGCACAAGCCACTGAGTCTGGCCGAGATTCTCCAATTTTAAGTTAAAGTACACTAAAAGAAAGGTGGTAAATAGTCTTATCTAATCTTATCTGACAAAACAAGCACCAAATGGGTGTATTTTCCATAGTGAAGGGCCATATCCAACAGCTGTGGCTGGGCTCTGTGACCTGCATATATGTGGCAGCTGCTGCCAGAGGAGCAGTTAATGTCCTACCTTCTGACAGAATCTGGTGGTGGGTCCGTCTTCTGCTGACTCAGCAAATTCGGTCCAAGGAAGCTTCTCTCTTGTACAGAAGGCAAAGGGCATAGCTATGAAAAGGAGGAAGGTCAGAATCATACCCAGTGTGTATGGCCTCTGCAGGGTTGGGGTGGGTGGGGCTCCTCAGACCAACAGCAAGGAGATCACTGCAAGAGAATATGGGTGGCGGTAGGGGGTGCCATAGTCTGGCTTCTGAATCCTGCCTCTGGTTGTGGGCACTGGGTAGGTCCTATCTTCTAGGATTCATGGTGAAACAAGGGGCTGAGCCAAATCTGTTTCCTATAGTCTTAAAAACGATCGCAGGCGGGTTTTCTTTTTGAGAAACTTGCCCATGGCAGATCTTTCTGCCATGAATCTTAGTTTTTCCTTCTCTTCTCACTAATAAACTCTGTTTTAATGCTTAAAAAAAAGAAGAAAAAAAAACATTTGCAGAGACTTGAACAGATATTCGAATGCCATGTTTATAGCTGAATTAGTCAAAAGGTGGAAGCAAATTAAGTGTCTTACCAACAGATGAATGGCTAAGCAAAATGTGGTACAGCCATACAATGGAATATTATTCAGCATCCTTACAAAGAAAGGAAATTCTGACATATGCTTACATGGATGGGCCTTGAGTAATATGCTAAGTGAGAAAAAACAAAACAACAAATACGGTATGATTCCACTTATAGGAGGTACTTAGTCAAATTTGTACAGACAGAAAGTAGAATTGTTGCCAGGGGCTGGGGGAAGGGAATAATGGAGTTATTGTTTAATGGGTAGAGAGGTCCAGTTTGGAATGATGAGAAAAGTTTTGGAGCTAGATGGCGGTTACAGTTGCAAAAAATGTAAATGTATTCAACATCATAGACTCTACACTTAAAAATGATTAAAATGGTAAATTTTATGTTATGTGTTTTTACAATTTTATATATATAGCATATATATTACATGCATATATGGGATACGTATATTACATACATATTACACTATATACATACATACGTATATACATATATGTTTTATTACGAAAGTTTGCAGCAGATTTCAAGCTGCAAGTTGACAGGAGCTCTGCCGAAACTCCTGGGAGAAAGTATGAAGGTCACTCCTAAGTATGAGATAGTGCTGGGACCCTTAGTGCATCACCATGGGAACCTTCCACTTCCCCTGGACAGGGAGGCTTCTTCACAAATAAGAAGCGCCACTCACTTAATGACCCCACAAAAAGTGTAGAAGAGAGTGGATAGGATGAGCACTTTCTTTCTTTTTTTTTTTTTTTTTTTTTTGGAGTCTCACTCTGTCACCCAGGCTGGAGTGCAGTGACACTCTCTCGGCCACCATGGCCTCGACCTGCTGGGCTCAGGCAATCCTTCAGCCTCAGCCTTCCAAGTAACTAGAACTACAGATGCACACCACCATGCCCAGCCAGTTTTTGTGATTTAGTGTAGAGACGAAGTCTCACCATATTGCCTAGGCTGGTTTTGAAGACCCTGCAGGATAAGCACTTTCAAGGATAAATGTCGTTATTCCCATGGTCTCTAGCTAGATACCGCCAGGGGACTAATTCAGTAGGAAATTTTCCTTAGCTGGGTGCGGTGGCACTAGCCTGTAATCCCAGCTACTCAGGAGGGTGAGGTGGGAAGATCATTTGAGTCCAGGAGTTCAAGATCAGCCTGGGCAACATATTATGACTCTGTCTCAAGAAATTTTAAAAATGGTATTCTTAACTTAACCCAAGAAAGCTGATTGAAGAAAAAAAGAGGCCCCCTCCCCTACATTGGGGAGGCGAATCTCCTCTCTCCCTCTCTCTCTCTCTAGTCTACTTTTTAAATAAACTATGTTTTCCAATCTAAAAAAAAAAAGAGAAATTTTATGAAATTCACTGGTTTTTGTTTGCTTTTTTCATTAAATGGGTACATAAATATGTAGTATGAGTTCTGTCATCTCCACACACACCAGGTTCAAAATGGCAGCTTCCTGTGTAGGGGAGTGGAGGCAAGTACACCAGGAGCAGGCATCAGGACGCTAGGCTATGTATGCTGCTCCACAGCCCAGCCACACTCAATATCTGCAACACATGGACTTATCTCTAATATCTGCCAGCCTGGTGGTGTGAACAGCATCTTGCTGTGACTGAATGTTTCCCTGTCCCCAGTGCAGCTGAGTATCTCGCTGCATGTTCACTGGCCATTCTGGATTCATCCTCTACACTTTCTTGTTCATAGCCTTTGCCCGTTTCCTACTGGGCTATTTGACTTTTTCATCTGGATTTAGAGTACTGTACTGAGTTCCTTGTCTGAACTAATTCAGTATGCTCTTTGGATTTCCCACCTTGCAATAACCCAAGTCCATGTCTCTGAGCAGGATTAGCCTAATGGAAATTTCCAGATGTCTGGTATTGTTCCACTGACTCTGAACTGACTTTAGAGGACGATTTGCAGGAAGCTGTGTGATGTGACTACGCAGTGTTTAACTGACTTCTGGCCTGTTTTGAAGTAATGATTGTAGCCAACATTTCCCAAATGCCCACATGACAGTATGGTGCGAAGTGTGGTAACAGGCAGCTCATCCCTGACTCCCTTATGGAGCAGGTGTGACTTTTTGCCTAGGCAATAGGGTCTTCTCTATTGCCCAGGTTGGAGTGCAGTGAAGTGATCGCAGTTCACTGTAACCTTGACCTCTAAGGCTCAAGCAATCCTCCTGCCTCCACCTCCTAAGTAGATGGGACAAAAGGCATGTGCCATCATGCCTGACTAATTAATTTTTAATTACAGGCATGAACCACTGCACCCAACAACCCTCTTTATTTCACAAAGAAGGAAAAAAAGACTAAAACTCTTAATTCCTTCCAGTCCCACGAAGCCTGGTCCTAAGAAAGCACCAGAGTGAATATACCACCAATGGTGCCACCACCATCTCAGCTACCCAAGTGAGTGAGTGGTGAGCACTGCCAGCAACAGCCCCAGGGGCCTTGGTGCCAGGCTCAATGTTCCCCAGGCTCCCCTTCTGTGAAAAGAGATGAATTATTTTAAGGAAGCCAACAGAAAAGCTGTTGAAAACAAAAACGTTCCTTAATGACCATTAATTCTCAGCTTTCAGAGCATTAGGAGTAAGTCAAGTATCCCCAGAGAATAAATGGCTTCTTTTCCTGTTTATACAACTACTACACTGTAAACACGCTTTCAAAAGAAGATTGTGGAATGGGGGTTGGGTGAGGCTGGCAGCAAAGCCCCAGCTACAGTTCTCAAACTAGAGGGAAGGGGTTCCGCATGCATTGCCCCAACACCCAGCCCTCAGGAACCACCAGCCTGGAGAGAAGGAGATGAATTAGAACCTGGTGCGGTTGTACAGCCTGGCAGGACAGAGTGCTCAGCTCTGCCTAGGGGAGTCCCAAGGGCCCCCCTAAGGAGGGGTTGGCTGTACTGGGCCTTGATGGATGAAAGGAAATTCCAGTACCAATAAAGAGGAGTAGTTCATCCAGTCAATATATTGCAATGCCTGTCATGCACCAGGGATTGTGCTTGCCACTAAAGGTAAAAAGGGTGGGGGTAGGGATCAAAAGACAAACAAACAAGTACAGGCACTGGCCTCATAGCGTTTATAGTCTAATGAAGGTGGCAGACAAATCAAGAGTCACACAAACAAGAGTGTGAGTATAAGTGCAAGTGTAACAAGAAATGGGAAAATAACATAAACTACTGGGTAGAGATGCAGCCTGGACACATACACATGGTCTTTCCTAAAACTCCACCAACATGACAGGAAAAAGATGTTCCTACAAAGGTATAAACCAACAAGGATGGGGCATTGAGGGAGGGGACTACAGCACCAAAACACGAGAAGCTGGAATGCAGAGGGATGTGGGTAAATATCTCAGCACACTAGAGAAAACTGCCAGCAGTAGTGAAGGCTGGGAAGCACCCCCTCTCCATCATGGACCCCTGAAAAGCTCAGGAACCAGAGGCACAGGTACCTCTGAAGATGGAAAAATAGAGGAGGTAAACAAGGATTAGTTAAAAGACTGCTTAAGAGTTAGAAGCCTAGGTCCTAACTCTGCTACAAGAGGCTTCTACCCCAACAGACGTCTAGAGGCTCCAGAGACAGTTCAGCAGAGGCTCTCTGGCCTTGGAGAAAGCAGGACAAATGAAGGCAAGTAAAGTGTCAAGACAGAGGGACCGAGTAATATCAGCAGGCTGGACCTTGTTCTCTTCCCTTTTTGGCAGGAAAGTAGAAGAATCTTCTCTGGGAGCTCTGACCAGCCTGAAAAGAATGACTCAGAGATACTAACACTGGGATTACCTGGGAATTAGCACCAAGCCAGATCATCCTATAATAGAGCTCAGCGGGCAAGGCCCTCTTAGAAACTCAGAGCTCACAATCAGCTTTTAAATCCCATTTCTTAAAATATAAGCAGACAATCAGAAAAAAAAGACCAACTTGGAGTAAGTAGGGTCCATGCAGGGAGAAAAAAATTTATTTAATATGATTATCCTCAGAGAGAAGATATTGCAACCATGAAGCAAGAACAAAATGTAATAAAACAGGGACTTTCAGACCAAAAGAACCCATATAAATTCAAAATATGATCAGGAGAAATGAAAGTCTAAATAGAAGAACTGAATGACAAATTAGATCAAATCTACCAGAAAACTGAGCAAAAAAGACAACGAAGAAAAAAATCAGGAGAGAACACATAAGAAAATTAGGGAACTAGTTCAGGGTTTCAACATCGTAATAGTAGGACTATCAGGAAGAGAAAGCAAAAAAGAGGGAGAAATAACTAATCAAACAATAAAAGAAAATTTCCTAGATCTGCAGAAACCATGTTTCTAGACTGAAAGAACCCAGTGAGTACCTAGAATAATGGATTAAAATAGAAACACACAATGGAACATCATTATAAAATTGCAGTGTTAGCAAAAAAAAAAAAAAGATCTCACAGTCTTCCATAGAAAAATAAATAAGTCACAGACAATGGGTCATATATCAATACCTAGAGCTAGAAGAAAACGAAACAATGCATGTCCAAACTTCTGAAGGAAAATGATTTCTAACCTAACATTTGATACCCAACCAAACTATCAAGCAACCTATAAAAAAACACATTTTCAGATAGGCAAGGTCTCAAAAGTTTACCTCCAATGTGTTCTTTCTCAGAAATAATTGGCAACCCTGCCCTCATGGGAAATAAAAGGGGCTGGATATGGTGTTTATAGTGAGCCTTTCATGGGATACTTCTTGTACGTGGTGGATAGCCTGATGCCTACTTGTCTGACCTGTCATCAGGGGGCCCTCACATGGGAAACTTGTTTATACTGGCAGAAGTCCTGTGGCTCTAGTCTGACCCATGTCCAGATATGCTGGGAGCCTGACCCTGTGTTCTCCCCCGAGTCCCAGGGAAAACCAAGTCTGGGGAAGCCCTTGGTTCTTCTGATGGAAGGTGCAAATTCCCTACATCACTACGATAGGAAACTAGTTCAAAGATTTTTATTCATATATCCCAGGCAGGGAGGACACAATTAGTCGAGAGAGGAACCCTATGTTCCTGGATGAGACAGGAATTAAAGATCAGGCAGAAGCATGTGGCAACTATATATAAGGGAGTAGGGACTGGGCTCGATGGCTCAGCCTGTAATCCCAGCACTTTGGGACGCTGAGACGAGTGGATTGCCTGAGCCTGCGGGTTCGAGACCAGCCCGGGAAACTTGGCAACACCTCGTCTCTACTATAAACCAAAAATTACCTGGGCATGGTAGCGTGCGCCTGTAGTTCCAGCTACTTGGAGGGCTGAGGCAGAAGGATTGCCGGAGCCCAGAGGTTGAGGTTACGGTAGCCGGGAGCGTGCCACTGTACTCTGGTCTGGGCGACAGAATGACACTCCAACTCAAAAAAAAAGGCGGGGAGTAGGGCATAGTCACTTTAGGTTCACGGGCAAATGCCTGGATGGTCTGTTTAAAGGAAGCAGCAGAAAAGCAGGGAGCCTAGTCTAGGCAAGAAAGATGCCTATAAGCTCTTACCTTTAGCCACCAGCTTGAGTCATTTGGATGTGATGCAGAACTGGAAACTGTGTCAAAGGTGACTAAGCCCTGCCTCTGGCATGAGAAACATAAACTTGTAGTCAAAATGGATGCCAAAGTAACATAAAGTTATAAGAAATCCAATATAAAGTTATAAGAAATCCACCACACTACTCACCAAAATGAGGGTAAAAAACCAATAAAGAAGATGTGGGAACAGAGAAACACAAGAGCAAGGCAAAGGGACTCCCCAGGATGATGGTGAGGAGAGATCCCAAGATGAGAACTAAGTGGCCAGCAGAGAGGGCACCCAAATCAGATGCAGTCAGAAGGCTCTGGGGCAGATTTCTCTGAGATAACACTGATAGACTGTTTGATGTGCCTAAATCATGTTAAAGGGATTTAGGAACTGATGGAAAGTTTGTGCTTGAACCCATGGTAAGTATGTACAAAACAAAGCACACTACAGGGAAAACAAAATTATTCAGGAAAAGAAATCAAAGTTCACAAAATGGCCTGGCAGAGGACAGATAGGGAGACAGAAGAGGAAGGGCACATGTGTGTCGAGGGGCCATAAGGAGACAAAGGGCTAACACTGACTCTTCTGTAGGGGGAAGTCAACAGATGAGGAAACCTGAAAAATTAGGAAATAGTAACAGAAGCAAAGGTAAATTCCAAAGGAACCAGCCATGTATTTGAAAGTACTTGCCTCTTGGGAGAAAGGTTATTTTTTGGTAACAGACCTTGTAAACCCATTTGACTCTAAGCCATGAGCATGTATAGCTCTGATAAAAACAAAACAAAACAAAATATCATAAAGAAAAGGTACACCATACCAGGAATGTTTAGAAAGGGAGTCTGGCTCTGGGCTGAGATCTGAAGGTGAAGAAGGGTCAGGAGGGCCAGAGTGCAGGGCACCAGAGGCCAGCCGGAAGGAATTACAGAAGCCTGAGACATTTGCTGGTGACTTGGACCTGGGTAGTGGTAGAGAAGGGGAGAAGTGAATGGATCAGAATGATTCAGGAGAGAGAGGACAGACAGGACCAGACAACAGCCTGGTGCATGACAGCAGGGAGGTTGAGGTCCCTGGGTTCCTGGTGATGTTAATAGAAAACCTTTCTATAGATGAGAAAACAAAGGATATTATTTTTTAAAACCAGGTAGCAGACACTCTTGGCAACAAGGAAATAATACATGATTGTTTGAAGGCGGCAGAGAAAGCACCACAAAAGAGACTTACTCCACGCTTCCTGGAAACAGACGATGTTGACTCTGCACATTGCAGCCACTTCTGCGATGGCCTCTATGCGTCTGTGCAGTGCAGAGACCTGATGATTTAAAAAGGATTAGAATCCATTTAGTTCTATTGGTAAGACACTTTTTTGGATCTCATCTCAATGCATGTGGAACAAACCCCCACCTGGGCATGTGCAAAAGAAGAAATAGACTGTGAGAAGATAACTAACATTTAGTTATCTTCTCGGGTCCAAAATCTGCAAGAAAAGGTGAAGGTGCAGAGGCTCTAGGCTCACTGCCTCAGTTTCCTCACCTGGTAATGGGGAGCCCACTACCTGCCTTGCGGGGTTGATGAAAGGCATGAACAAGGATGGTGCTGCTTACTGTAAGCAGGGTTCTCACCCACAACCATTCCTTGGTCAGCTGTTCCTGTGGGTTGGGACATAATCCACTCTTCATCATCCTGCCTTCCAGGTACTGGGCAAGACTTGTCCTGCCACTTCTACTTCTACTGTGTGCCTCTAATCATGAACTGCTTCACTTTTCTGGCTTTTTTTTTTTTTTTGAATTGGAGTCTCACTCTGTTGCCCAGGCTGGAGTGCAGTGGCATGCTCACGGCCACACCAGCATTGACCCGCTGGGCTCAGGTGATCCTTCAGTCTCAGCCTTCCAAGTAGCCGGAACTACAGGCGTATGCTACTACACCAGCTAATTTTTTGATTTATTGTAGAGATGAGGACTCGTCAAGTTGCCCAGGCTGTTCTCGAACCTGTGAGCTCAGACAATTCTCTCATCTCAGCCTCCCTAAGTGCTGGGATTACAGGCTTGAGCCACCACACCTGGTCTTTTCTGGTTCTTTTAAGTGCTCTGGTGTGTGCTATGCCCTCAATCAGGAATGTGCTTCCCTCTCCCAACCCAATCTTCCTGGAGGTGTTATCTGTGTCACATGTTACCCCTCTATGAGCCTCTGCATACTCTCCTGGCTACAGGCCAAGTGTCGAGGAAACTCGGCACTCCCTGGCCTTTGGAAGCCTTCACAGCAGCACTGTTCTCATTGTGTACCACTGTTCTTCCACTGTCTGTCATTCCCAGGACCCCACAGGGTCCTTGGGAGCAGGAAGAAAACATCCTCGTCATCTCGTTGTCCTTAGCATGATGTCTGGCTCCCAGGAGACATTCAGAAATGTTTGCTCAAAGAATGACCAAGGGAACTAGGCTGAAAGCCTAGAGAATACAAATTCCTTACAACATCCTTAGTCTTACTTGAGGGGCTATGGGCTCCAGGGATATTTGCTGATGGTGTCAGTCACATTAACAGACATTTGCTTGGCACTGGCAATATGTAAAGTGTACTTCTAGGTGCTATGGGAGTGAAAAAAAAACATCGCTGGCTCTAGGAATTGATGTTCTGAGACAACAGAGGGGACATATCTGCAGTGAATCCAGAGACAAAAAGTAAACTCACCAGACACCTATACCTGTGAATCCAACAAAAGCAAAGGAAGGACCAATGTGAACAACGATGTAGAACCCGACCTGGAATCTAAGTGTTCTCAGGGTTTTCAAGAATCCTTAAAAATTCACAAGCACAATGTATCCTGAGGAAACTTCTGCAGAGAAAGCCCTCCAAGTTTGAGCAGCTGGAGGAATGCTGTGAGAAGTGTATAAAACAAATCGCCTGCATCCGTGACAACATGTTTCTTTAGGGAAATAGAAGATGCTGTCATATTTGTTTACTAATGATAAGGTCATAAGTGAATGCCTAACTATTCCCGTAAGTCTTCAGGCACCATCAGCTGACAGACTTCTGGGTATAGTGAATCCCCACCCTTAGGATTAAGGCAGAGGAACACACAGATGGTACTGACCGGTGTGTGCTGGCCAGTAACCTCCTGGCAGGCAACTGAGAGGGAGTGTCTCATAGATGGAGCACAGACCAGCCAAAGGGCACTCCTCCAGTTGGTAAATGGAATTTCAGATCAATAGCTAAGTGATGGGGAAGTATCAGTGAGGAAGAAGGAAAGAAAGAGTAAGAACCAGAAGAGAGAGAAGAGCCAGAGACGCAGGCTGGAGGGAGGTGGGGAGGTCAGGGCAGAAGCATCTCTGCTACCATTCAAGGCACCTGAGCATGCAGACTGGGTGTGAGTGACCAGCCAGGGACTTCAGGCATGTTCAAACAAATGGCCAGCCAAAACTCTGTTTGTGTATTTATGGTCAAAAGAGACTTCACCTGTTCTGCCACAGGGGCATCCGCAGGAAGAGGTGTTTTATTCTGAACCAACCCCACACGCACAATGCGGGGTGGTCTCAGCTGCTCCTCAGCTGCCTCAAAGGCATATCCCTGCAGTTCAAAGTCTTCTCTGGAGGCAGCTTCAAAGGCTCTGCTGGGTAGATCAAGCTTCCTACACAGGCAGGAAAGAAGAGGGAAGGCGATTTCAATGCAGTCTGTTGCACATAAAATTCCCTTCCCATCACTTGAGCCCAGGAGTTGAGGTTGCAGTGACTGTGCTACTGCACTCCACCCTGGGCAATAGAGCAAGACCCTGTCTCTAAAATAAATTTAAAAAATAAAATACTCTCCCCCACCACCACTCTCCATAAGTCGTGTATCAGGCAAACAAAAGGTGGAGGCACCCAATGCAAGGGCCCAAGGGGCCCAGAGTGACTGGATACTACACTGAGTTTGGACTTTACTATAGTCAGCTGAGAGACCTCAGCAGGGAGGCAGCATGGGAGGCCTGGCAAAGAGGAGACCAGTCAAGAGGTTGGTGTTTTAGAGTTGCTGAAATCAGGGCAGAGATTAAAGTTCTGCAGTCAACACAGAAAGGAGAAAACAGATTCCACAAAATGTTTCCAAACTAGAATCAGAGAGCTATGCTGAGCCTAGGGAGTGGGGCAGGCTGTGCTAACAGAGAAGGGCTTGGAGAACCAGACTCAGGAGACAGGCTGAATGAGGAGGCCATGATCTGAGACCATTGTGGAGAGGCCCACAGCCCTCTGCCACTAAGGATCCCCATAGCCCTGTCCTGCTGCTGTTCCTGCTGGGGGTACAGTTCCATGCCCAGTGCTGGGTGAGCTTGGAAGGGCCCAGGTGTTCAGACCAAAGGCACAAGTGCTCATCCAAGTTTGTGGTTTATTAACAAAGACTAGAGAATTATTTATAAACCCTTCTGCTGAAGTAACCATTGTCCACAGAGCAAACACCCCTTGATGCCTGTTGCATGGCCAGAGGTCAAACCCATAGAGGCACAGGGCATGGCCCCTAGCCAGGAAGGGTTTACCATCTAAGGGTGAAATGATTATGAAATACCCAGGGAACACATCAAAAAATAAACTGACAGCCATTATCTAATAATAATATTTCTCTCCTACTTTAAATCACTTTCTAAAAGACATTTCTTTCAAAATCACAGCCCTGTCAGCCCAAGCCCCCTGTCGCCGCCCCCTGCCAGGCACTTTCCATGTGACGGCCCTGACAGCTCTGAGTTTGGTTCCGCCCCTGACAATCAGCCTGCTTTTCAAATAGTCAAGGTTCCCTTCACTCTAGCAGGTTAGAAATAGCAGCAGTGCCCACACTGCACCTCCCCTTACTGTGACTGCTTTAGACGGTCCTCCCACCTTCAGGTGGAAGGGCCCTTCTCACGGGCCTTAACCCCATGGCAAGTCCCCCTCAGTGGACACAATCATGCAGCTTTCCAGTAGCTACAACTCTACAACAGTCACAGGGTGAAAAAGGAAAAAGCTTCTATGTGTCTATTTCCCTGAAGGCCTATAGCCTGGGAGCTGGACCGCTCTTTGGAAGTCTCACACCAGGAAGATATCAGGAAGAGATCTTGTCTCGGGTATGCAAACCCAGCTGTAACACCTGGCAGACATCTTCCTCCCCATCTTTCCAGGATGTACAACCTACCCTACCTCCCTGCTCTGTCTAAGCTGAGTGCTGCCTCTGCCCTGCCTTGGCCCTGAGGCTGCCCATATCCTCACCCCAGAGCTCCCTGTGGACACTCAGTCTCCTAGACCCAAGGCAATGTAGGCCAGGCTGCTCCACCCTCGAGGACAGTCCCCTTTGGGGTTCTACCCTTCCCCTGCACCCCCATCTACTGTCCAGTCACCACCTACAAGGCCTTACCATTATCCAGGTGATCTATCACCTCATACTACCCTGCTACATCTTGAAGAGCTCTCAAGTCATATCCTGTGCAGACACATGTGCTGCCGGGTGCAGTGGCTCACACCTGTGATCTCAGCACTTTGGGATGCCGAGGCGGGTGGACTGCTTATGCCTAGGAGTTTAAGACCAGCCTAGGTAACATAGTGAGACCTTGTTTCTACAAAAAATAAAAAATTAGCCAGGTGTGACAGCATATGCATGTAGTCCCAACTACTTAGGAAGTTGAAGCAAAAGGATTTCCTGGGCCCAGGAGATCAAGGTTGTGGTGAGCCATGATCATGCCACTGCACTCCAGCCTGGGTGACAGCCTAAGACCTTGACTAAAAAAAAAAATAAAAATAAATAAATGAATGAATGAATAAATAAATAAATAAATAGCGGGCTGCAGTGGCTCATGCCTGTAATCCTAGCACTTTGCAAGGTGGAGGTAAAAGGATTGCCTGAGCCCGGGGATTTAAGACAAGCCTGGGCAACTTGGTGAGACCTCATCTATACAACAAATAAAAAAATTAGCTGGGTGTGGTGGCTCATGCCTGTAAAGTTCCAGGTACTTGGATGGTTCAAGTGAAAGAACTGCCTGAGCCCAGCAGGTGGAGGCTGCAGTAGCTATACGCATGATGCCACATGACAGCGTGGGCAACAGAATGAGACTTTGTCTCAAAACAAAACAAAAATTAATTAATTAATTAAACAAACATGTGCTGCGCCTACCAAAGATTTGGCACAGGGGATGTGGTGGGGCACTGTGATAGACTGAATGTTTATGTCTACCCAAAATTCATATAAGGAAATCCTAATCCCAATGTGATGGGGCCCTTTGGGAGGTGACTGTCATAAGGGTGGAATCCTCATAGATGGGATTAGTGCCCTTATGCAAGATGCCTGAAGGAATTTGCTTGCTCTTGCAACAAGTGTGGACACAGCAAGAAGGAACCATCTCTGAATCAGGAAACCAGCTGTCCCCAGACACCAAATCTGCCAGCACCTTCATCTTGAACTTCCCAGGCTTCAAAACTATAAGGAATAAATTTCTGTGATTCACAAGGCTTCCAGCCTATGGTATTTTGTTATAGAAAGCTGCAAGGACTGAGACAGACACTGATCAGCCTTGGCCCAGGAGGGCAGAGACCAGCAAATAAGCCTGCTTTTCAATTACTCAAGGTTCCCTTCACTCCAGGTCAGAAATAGCAGCAGTGCCCACACCGCACCTCTCTTGCTGTGACTGCCTTAGACAGTCCTCCCACCCTCAGGTAGAAGGCCCATTCTTGTGGACCTCAGCCCCATGGCAAGTCCCTCATGGTGGACACACACACAACCTCACAGGAAAACCTCATGATGCCTGCTGGTGGCCCTTGGTTCCTGTAGATGGTTTTCAGAGGCTCTATCCCTTACCCTGCTACTGAGGACCCCATTCCTCGAGTCCTCACCTCCAACTTCAAGAAGGAAAGCCCATCACTTCCTGTCCTGGCCCTAATACACCCTCCTGGGTACCCACCTCTTCAAAACAGGGTTATGGCACACCTGCCTGAGAGCGCCAAGCTCCTGCCTCCTTAGCAACCTCTCATCTTTTGCCCTCTAACGGTCTTTACCATAAGTGTTTTAAATAATTAAACTAGAGCTTTGTTACAAAAGAAACACATGCTCATGGAGGGAAAAAAATCCGATAGTGGAAAAAAGTATAAAATGAGAAATAAGTTCTGTATTTTCTGTTCTTCAACTTGCCTTTTTCACTTAGCAATATACATACTTGGGCATCTCTCCACGTTGGGATCTACTATATGGCTGCCCAATTCTCTCCTACTGAAAACCAGAAGAAAGATGGAGAAAGGGAGAGAGAGACAGCACCCCACACCCCATGTCCCCCTTGTTCCTTCACTCGCTCACTCCTTGCTGTATCAAGGGCTTCCATACACACTTCCTCTCAGCTCAACCCTTACTTCCTATACCCTCCTCAGTCCCACCCTCTGCCTCCCACTCCATACTTTGGGAGCTGCTACCAGCCTTTTCATGCTAAAGCCAGTAGACTCCCTGCTGCCCCCTCCACTAGACATCTCTGTGCCATCCGACTCTTCTTTCCCTTTCCTGCCCTTGAGTCCTCCCACTCCTGCATCCTCACCTTCAGAGTCTCCCACAAAGTCTCTGCTTCCTCTCACCCCTCTAATCTGGGTTCCCCAGCATTCCTTCCAGGACTCTCCCACTCTGCACTTGCTCCTCCTCCACCTGGAACGACCATCTCCAGGATAGCTCACAAGCCCAGGCTCTCCCCTCACCCCTCAAGGCCCACATCTGCAAAGCGAAAGGCCACTGAACAGCTCTACCTGGAGACCCCAAAGGTAACTGTAGTAGGTTGAATTGTGTCACCACCCTGATACCCAGAACCTGTGAATGTGATCTTATTTGGAAAAAGAGTCTTTCACAGGTGTAATTAAGATAAGATAATTCTGGATTATCCTGGTTAACTCTAAATCCAAAGACAAATATTCTTATAAGGAGAAGGCCACATGAAGACAGAAGCAGAGACTGGTTGCCACAAGCCAAGGAAAGCCAGAAGCCACCAGAGGTTAGACAAAGCAAAAAGGAATTCTCCCCAGAACCTTTGGGGGAAGTGTGGCCCTGCTGATACCTTGGTCTTGTACTTCTGGTCTCCAGAACTGTGAGAATAAATTTCTGTTAATTTACCCAGTCTGTGGTAATGTGTTACGGCAGCCCTAGGAACTAAAAGTACCCAAAGTCAACTTGTCCAAAGCTGAACTCATCAGCTTTCTCCAAAGTCAATCCTCACTACATGAGCCCACAGTCACCTGAGGGTCCAAGGCAGAAGCCTGCCCGATCCTCACCTTCTTTGCCATGCCTGCTACCCACATTGCCCACTGGCCTCCCTAAGACCTCTGGAAGCCTTCTGCCTCTCCACCCCAGGCGCTGTTTGCATTAGTCCTCTCATCTCTCACCTGCCCTTTTCCAGGCCATTCTTGACCCGACCACCAGGACAAACTCTTCAGAGGCTCCCACCATTATCAGGGCACGGTTCTGCTGTCTCAGAGCCTCCAGGATCCTCTCTGGCTACTCCTGCCTCCTCTCTTGGGCACTCCTCAGGGGGTATTCTATGACCACCCCTCTTATATGTACATTCCCAGAATGGGCATGTCCCCTGGTGTCTGGGGACATGTGCCCTGCCTGTCTCCTAACAAACACCTGTCTCCTTCAGGATGTTACAAGCATCAAGCATGGTGACCCTGCAAAGTCCTCCTGTGTTCCTCCCAACTTCAAACATATAAACTCTCTCAAGCTCTCCCTGCATCCTTCTTTCATAATGTAATGCAACCATCAAAAGATGAAAAGCACTTGAGCCCAGGAGTTCATGACCAGCAGTGAGCTGGGTGACAGAGACCCCAATCCAAAAAAAAGATAGAAAGCCCCCGAGGGGTGGTACCCTTAGTATCTAAGACAAAAATAAGTGCTCAACAAATGTTTGTTGAATGTATAAATGCTTCTTGGTTCTGGTACAGGCAAAGACCCATTTAGCTCATTCACTTAGTAAATATGTACAAAGCACTGTAATTGGGAGACAATATGGTATTGTGTGGAAATGGGAGTCTAAAGGAGGAGCTGAGGACTCTGGGCCCACCAGGCCTTCACAGAGGTGGCCATGTGGAAGACCGACTTTAAGAAGTAAACAAGAGCCAGATGTGGTGGCTCATGCCTATAATCCCAGTATTGTGAGAGGCCGAGGTGAGAGATTAACTGAGCCCACAGGTTTGAGACCAGACTGGGCAACTTAGTGAGACCTCATCTCTACAATAAATCAAAAAATTAGCCAGGTGTGGTGGCGCATGCCTGTAATTCTAGCTGCTTGGTAGGCTGAGGCAGAAGGATCACCCGAGCCCAGCAGGTCAAGGGTGCAGTGGCCGTGAGCGTGCCACTGCACTCCAGCCTGGGCAACAGAGTGAGACTCC